GTTTCATCAAGACTGTTTTAGAGCCCCCCTTTTACATTATTAATCATGGCACTCAAAATAAAAAAATAAGATCTGTTAAAAAGTTGCACTGACTGCCCCACTAGTTGAGCCTGCTTGACCGAAAGCTGAAGGTGCCGTTTCTGGTTTCACATCTGCATGTCACTTGGACTTAGGCGTCACGTTCATTTCATAAATCTCCATCTGTGATTTTTCTAAACAGAGCTATTACAAATGAATACAAACTTGAAACATAGTCTAATTTAAACTAATAAGCTTTGGGCCCCGCTTTGCAAATTTTAAGGCATGTGTGTTTCTCTACTGTAACAACATCATACAAATTTACATTTACAATCACATGCATGATCTATAATTAAAAAAAAAGTTTGGATTACAGTGTTTTAAAATTGTGAATCACAATTCAGCACCTATCACGTTATAACTAATAAGGCAACAGCAGTGTCATATACTACAATACTCCCTTTCCACAGTCTAGCGCGGGGTCAATGAGCCCAGAAACGTGAGAGACCTTAGCCTACGTGGATAACGGGCGTGCGTACTCGAGGGGTTTGAACGGATGGAGGAGGCCCTACACGAATCACACTATTGCAGGCCGACTAGAACAGCAGCTGCTAACAGCGAGGAGCACAACGGCTGTGCTTACAATCACAGGGTGTGCGGAGCGCGCTCAGTCCTTGCGCTGCTTCCTGGGCTTCACGCTGCTCTCCAGGGAGAAGCCATTAGTGTGCCCATTCACGGCGGCCACGGAGCCATTCTGGTGGTCCTTTGCGTGGTCTTTCCATCGGGAGGCCCCCTTCTTGTTGTAAGTCTCATGGTAGAAGTTGGTGAAGAGGATGATGAGGGAGACCATGTACCTAATCTGGAAGTACAGCCACCCCGGTGGGAAGGAGCACGGCCACACGACCCCGCAGGTGGTCTGGATGATGGTCAGCACGAACTGCACCAGCTGCCCCTGTGTGCTGTACTTCTTCCACCAGAGGTACGGGCGCATGGAGGGGATGGACGACAGGCCATAGTAGGAGTACACGAGCACGTGGATGAAGCTGTTAAGCGTGGCGCCGAAATAAGAGTGGCCGCAGGGCACCCAGTTCATCACAAACCACCAAATGTTGAACATGGAGGCGTGGTGGTAGACGGGCAGGACTGTGATCTGGTAGTTGTTCTTGCGCAGGATGAAGAAGAAGGTGTCCACGAATTCTATGAGTTTGGAGAAGTAGTACCACCAGAGGACACGGATAATCTTCGTGTCTGATCCTCCGGCGCTGCGTGTGCCTTGGCAGAAGAAGTCGTACCTGCCTTCCCACACTCCTGTCACCAGCTCGACAAACATATAGAGAGACAGCAAGGTGAGCCCGAGGTTATATACCACTAAAATCCCCCGGCAAGAGAGAGAACGGCTGTTTATTCTTCATGTATTTTGGTCCCAGCCATACAATCATTAAATAAATGACAGAGCAGACCAATGTAGGTAAATAATTGTCTAGAAGAAACCATCCTTTTACTCTGGTATCTCGGGGACCCAGCCATGCCCTGAAGTAGGTGCTGAGTGAGGCATCGAAATTTTCCATTTTAAAACCTCCTCCGAGGCGGCAGCGGCTCCGAGGGCAGCGCGGCGGCGGCCAGCTGGAGCCGAGGAGGATGAGGAGGCGGGAGCAGCGCGGGCACTGGGGAAGAGGAAGGCGCCGCTGTCCACAGCCGGAGCGTGGGCTGGCCGTGACGTCACAGTCGACAATTTATATTTCAAATAAAGTTTTATTGAAATAGAATCCCTGTCATTTGTTTACATACCTGTTGCTTATGACAGCACTTGTTCCACAATAGTAGACTTGAATTGTACTCATGCCAAGGTTAAAACATTTGAAACCTGACCTATTGTAGAAAAAGCTCACATGTGTCAACCTGAGAGAGAACGCCGAAATGGTACTGCATTGGAAGTGGCCCCTTCCTACACGAGAATATACTCCTAGTCTCTTCTAATTTTAATACATAAGCCTCTTAGGGACCATGCATTATTAATTTGCTTTTTGAAGGTATAAACTTTTCTTTTCTTTTCTTTTTTTTGGAACCAGGGATTGAACTCAGGTCCTTGAGCTTGCCAGGCAAGTGCTTATTCCACTGAGCCATCTCCCGGCCCCTAAACTTTTATTTTTCTAGTTTCCAAAATAATTATTTCCTCCTGAGACCCATCAAAGACAATATTAAAAGTACAATGTTTTTAGTTATAATTTTTCTTGTCTCTTTTCCGTTTTATTTCTCCTAACCTAACTCACTTCTTCCATGAAAACATTGATCCTTTCCCCTTAAGGGTTAAGGGAACATCCTACAACTGCTTCAAGCTGATATAACAAATTGACTTCAGCTAACAAGGGATCAACAATCTGACCCTGACTGATCTGATGGAGACAAAAAAAAGTCTAGCTTTGTTTTTGACAAATTATCCTGCTTTGATAGTAAGATAAAAAGAACCTTAGCAAGTCCTTGATGCTGAAGTTTAACTTTTATAACCACTTTAAATAAGTGTAAGCTAAAATATGAGTAGAACATTGATGAAAAGTAGCTTTAGGGGCTGGGGGGATGGCTCAGTGGAATAAATGTTTCCTTGGCAAGCTCAAGCTCAAGGGCCTGAGTTCAATCCCCAGTTTCGAAAAAAAGAAAGAAAGAAAGAAAGAAAGAAAGAAAGAAAGAAAGAAAGAAAAGTAGCTTTAGAAGTTGAAGAAGTGAAAAAAGACAACATTTGGAATAACTATTTTATCATTAATATTAACTTCTATTTGTCCAAAGATATTAACTTAAATGCAGTAAGTGGAGTTTAAGAGTATGTAGACTCTTCCTTTTTTGTCAAATAAATCTAACATTACCTTATTTTAATAATATTGAAGGAATTCCTTATTTTTTTGAAGAAATACTTTAAATAAAGATACTTATGTTTTTGTGATGTTTGTATCATTAAAACTTTTTCTAAAAGGGATCAGAACTTGAATCTGGCCTCTATTTTGTAGATCTGAAGTGAATGGATCAAGATAATTTAAACATATGAAGTTAGAAGGTACCAAAAAGATAACAAAGCTTGGTAGGTAGGTAGAATACAATGGTAGTTCAGCTCATGAACTCTTTGTTTATAAACAATTTGGTTTGCAAGTAGAAGCATTTGGAAAAATTTTGGCTTTGTTTGAAAATCTTGCATCAAATGACAAACACAGCTGCTGCCATTTTTTCTGACAAACACGAATGTGACCATCTTTCCGAAACCGCGGAACAAATCCAGTTCGTGAACCAAAGTGACACTGTATTTATACTGTGATTGTGATTGTATATTTATGCCTCTCTAAGAAGTCAAGTCTTCACCTCAGGGATATTTGAAAGCCTATTAAGATAATGTAGTGAAATACACTGAGTGGGTATGTATCTGAAGACACATTTTGGAAAGGGTAGTGGGACAAGGATTCATGACCACCCTGGGATAGAGGTTAAAATCTTCTAAGGGTAGACGGAGGCTGCCAGGAGGGACTGATGCAGGCTTTGGAGCTCTTTTTTTAATCTTAGCCTTGATTTCTGTGTTTTATTATTACTCTTAATTATTAATTTATTTTTGCTTGTACTTTCTTGTCGGCCATTTGTGACCAAGTCAAAGTAAGACTTGTGTTAATCAAATTTAACCTTCTCTGTCTCTGTCTCTGTCTCTGTCTGTCTCTCTGTCTCTGTCTCTGTCTCTGTCTCTGTCTGTCTCTCTGTCTCTCTCTCTCTGTCTGTCTCTCTCTCTGTCTCTCTCTCTCTCTCTCTCTCTCTCTCTCTCTCTCTCTCT